GGGGAAACAAAACTTGTTATCTTCCCACTGAATAGCCCCTTGTGTCAAGTCACTGCCACTGGCTCTGTATAGTCAGATTTACTTGATTTGTTTTCACAAAGCAATAAAACAGAGGAACTGTTTTACAAATAATCCAAGGCAGCCTGAAAATCTACCTGCACAGAAAAACCAACTGCAGTAACACTAGTTCTGCAGGAAGAAAGGCACTATCTAAAACTATTCTTGACTCAAATCTTCAAGCTGCCTACCTTTTAACTTCCTCTTGTAACAAGGTCTGCTAATCCCTTGGTACTGTTCTAGAGTATAAGTTCACATGTAATACCTATGGAACTGACTTAGAATATCTTTTCTAGGGGTAGTACTGTTTTGTTTTGTTTTTTTTTGTTTTTTTCCCAAGAAGTAGTGGGAAAGTACTACCAGTCCTTGATGACAGAGAACAGCACCACAACTTCCCTGCTTAGAAGCTGGGACAGACATGAGGCAGAACAGTATTCCTGTATTCCACTGGTTCAGAGGGTGACAATGTTACAGAGGTCGTGTACAAAGCAGATGCCTCAGACTGCTTGTTTTTCACCTGATCCCACTCTAACCTACTTCAACTTCATTCCATTCTGACAGCACTTTTTAAGTCTTGATCACCAGGTTAGCACTTAACAATTTTTTCAGTTTGTAGGCTATTCCAAGCTCCTTCTAATTTTCAAAGATCTCTTCTTGTCAGACTTGACACTTTCCACCTTCTTTCTCTTTGATGCTGATGTTTGTTTCTTACATATTTATTTCTCTGGTACCTTGTACCCTGTTGTCTCAGATTACATAAAAGCAATTTTTTTCTACAACTTGTGAGTAGATGGGTAAACCATATTATGCACCCCACTAAACCCCTGCCACTATGCACAAGGAAGGAATTACTGATCAGAAAACTAATAGTTATTATTAGTGATTTAGCGTATGGGTTTCCAGGTCTTGCTTGTTGTTGCAATTCTATGTACCCCAAGGCACACATGGCAGTGTAATGCCTTCAAACACATACCATCACTGTCAGAAGTGCTGTTACAGATCAAGCTATAGAGAAGACTTAAATGCAACTGCTTTCGAAGAAAATCAATGCTGTAATATCTAGCTTAGATATGAAAAGAAGATCAAATAAGCTTTAAGTGCTAAAATTCAAAGAAAAATGGTAGAAGCCTTTTCAATAAATAATTTCAATTTCACTCACACAAAAAAAGCCAAGAAGAATGCTCAAAGGGGCATAAACAAATACACAAAACAAAGACTTATTTCATAATAGAGAAAGGGAAATGGAAAAAGATTAATTCTGCTCTGATCAGTGATAATTCCAAAAAGCTGACGATCATATTTCTATGGTTAAAATAAATTTAATGGTAATCTTACCCTTGCTATGACACCAGAGATGAACACTGTTGGTTTAGGTGGGCTGAAAAAAACAAGAGGGATTAATTGTACTATTCAGAAGATAAAAATGAGAAGCACATCATATGTACAATGGAAAAAAAAAAAGGCATTTTTGGAATTAATGTTACAAATAAGATTTCCTCTACAAATGACTTTTGTTTTACTATCACTTTCTGCAGCCAAGAACAGTGATACAGACCTGCAGGTTTGAGCTGCTATTACTTCATGTTAATTGACAGAAGTAAAAGGCTAGTCCAAATGCTTTGTGTTCCTTTCTTAATCTTAAGGATCTAGATTTGTTTGCATTGGCTTATTAATCCTCAAATTTTATATATCAGCTACTAGCTGTATACTTTAGACTTAGTATATTTGTACTGTAAGAAACAACAAAAACTGTAGCTGGAGTAAACCTACTGCTGTCATGGAAAATAAAACAAGATTCTGAGTCTTATAAAAAACCAAAACCCAATACTTTTTAAATCACAGACTTTCAAGCGGGTATTTATCTACTCTCTTACAACAGAAGGAGAATGATGTCTGTATTAAAACAAATGTTCAAAAAAAATCAACAACAAAACAAAGCCTGCCCCACTTTTTCATTTGCAGACTTACATTTGCATCAATAGAACCAGATTCAACAGTAGAATTTGACTCTGAAGCTTGGTCAACACACAGGATTAGATATCCTGATTAATGGATCTCTGGATTAAGTCATGGCACTGCCAGAGTCTCTGAACAGCCCAGTTACTGAAGAATCATTGCTCTGCTTGAAATTTTTAGAAAGTTAGCAAGACATGATTAGAAAAAGAGAAAACAGAAAGGAATTTCTGCTTTTAAATTCATCCATTTAAGAGTATGAGTAGTATTTCCTGTGATGAGAAGAAGTATTTTGATAGCTGTATTAGCACTTCTTTGATCTCATTTTCTGCCAGTATAAACTAATAACAAGCAAAGATCAATAGCAAAATGCTTTCATTTTATCCTGATTTTGCTGAGCCAATTAGTACACTGCAGTCTGGATGAGAAACACTGTAAGGTAAGTAATAAACTGAAAGAAACAACTCTTTACAGAAAATACAGATGTACTGCATTGGCTGATGGTTCCATTCACAAACTAACACAATGATATTATATAGGAAACAAACAAGAAATGGAGAAAAAACAAGTAGCAAGCTGTTCTTCAATTATACATGGGATCTGGCTTTAATCACACTCAGAGGAATAGTTATTTGTTTGACATCACATTATTAACAATGCTAGATAGTGAGAAATTCAAATCAGATGGGTTTTTCCTATATTCTTACAATAATATGCATGCTGCATGAATTTCAAATCAACATTTCCTTAAAAAAAAAAAAGCCTGTGTATGCAGAATGTGTTATGGCTTGTCTGTCTACCACCACACTGTATTATCTGCTCTAGGTTCCATACAAATTAAATGTTCCATGCTTTTGGCCAAAAATAAAACCCTGAAGTGTAATGGCTGTAGCAAAATGGGTGTTTCAAGGAACCTTTCCCACTGCGAATTTTTATTTTCTTCTCAGGAACTCTGGTCTCCTATTTAGAAATGTCAAGCTGTTATTAATCAAAGAACCTGAGCTTACAAGTGCTAAGTTCACTGGGTATGCAATAAGTTGGATAGAGTTAGAATACCTGGTGTGTTTCTGCAGGTATTTTTCACTTACTTGTATATTCTTCTATCTAAGGAACAAGGCTGGAGGCCCTTTAGGGATCATTTTCATAGTAAGTACAAATAAAAGACTGTCAGAGTTGTATGTTTCAGGTAGTACAGTAGATGTAGTTGGCCTATCTCTATAAAGAAGACAAAAATCAGTAATACCATTTTTCTGGTAAGAACTTTTCCTCAGATACAAAGAATTTAACTACAACTCTATCATATTTAACCTTAACGTATTTAAACTTGTACACAGTTAATGCAATTAAAGACAGTCCAGGAATCATCTTGTAAGACAGGAAATAGATCCACCAAAATGCCTCACATTAAACTTGTCCCAGAGTTAACACAGACTGTTTCATGACAGCACAGGGCAATTTGCTGACAAAAAGGGTATTTAACCTACTTGGAAACCAGAGTATCTACATCCAGATTTGCTTGGAGCAAACTTGACCTTCGTTTCCTAATGAGGTTCAATAAAGTAAAGTGCAAGATTCTGCACCTGAGTCGAGGCAATCCCTGATATGTATACAAACTGGGGGAAGAACTCCTTTAGAGCAGCCCTGCTGTATAGGAGTTAGGTGGGTCTGGTTGATGAAAAACTCAATGTGAGCCAGCAGTGCACTCTTGAAGTTCAGACAGCCAATGGAACCCTGGGTTCCATCAGAAGAGGAGTGGTCAGCAGAGACAGGGGTGTGCTTGTCCCCCCTCTACTCTGCCCTCATGAGGTCCTAGCTGGAGTACTGCATCCAGGTCTGGGGTCTCCAACACAGGAAAGATGTGGATCTGTTGGAGAAGGTCCAGAGGAGGGCTAAGAAGATGATCCAAGGGCTGGAGCACCTCCCCTATAAAGACAGACTGAAGCAACTTTTTACACAGGTTGATAGTGACAGGACAAGGGGGAATGATTTTAAACTAAAGGAAGGGAGAAATAGATTAGATTAGATGTTGGGGAAGTTTTTTTATTGAATGCTGGAACAGGTTGCTAAGGAAGCTGTGGATGCTCCATCACTGGAAGTGTTTAAGGCCAGTTTCGATGAGACCCTGGGCAATCTGATCAAGTGCTTGACCTAGTGGCTGGCAATCCTAGCTGTAGCAGGTTGGGTGGAATTTAATGATCCCTGAGGTCATCAGGTCAAGTCCCATCAGGTCATCAACTCAAGTCATTCAGTAATTCTATGATTTCCATCCTTGTTTGTCCTCTTCCTGGCTTTTTGATCAGATTCTTGCTGGGTCTGTAGCTTTCAGAGTGAAGAACTAATGGGAATGCTGATCTGACCACCTCAAGCATTTCTATTTTTCTTTTCTTGTTGACCTGAGTAACCATACTCAATAAATACTGTAATGAGGCATCTTCTCTGAGAGAGCTGATCACAAAGGCAAACAGGTTTCATTCCTACGGAAAAAACATTATCTGACCATTACATTCATTTTCATATGTTAATTATCCCTTAGCAGTAAAAAGACAGCAGACTGGCCAGAAACATCAATGATTGAGCATATCTCTATTTATGTTCTATGCTAAGGCTGCAGGCATTTCCTTATTTCAATTAGATTATGGTGTCTCAGAAAAATCTTTAAAATTTTAATATTATTGATTATCTTGGGTGATTCACAGAACCAGAATCAGGCGAGAGCATATCTCATCACATATCTATACTAATGAGGAATCCAACTGATCAAAGAATGGCCTGGATAATCAGTCATTGATTCAAGCTTCAATTTCATTTTTAATGAGAGAAATCTTTTTACAGATGAACTTCACAATAAATACTGCCAGAGTCTCAAATCATTGGCTGTGCTGGACACAGATTAGCTGCCAGGAGTGTAATTTTATAATCACACTCCAGGACATCTACTGCAGTTGTGGAATTTCAACATCACTCATTATCATTCCACACAGCCTACCAAAAATAGATACGAAAACAGAGAATATACACAGGCTATTATTGCTATATTTGTAAAATATTATTAAGTACTTCTGATTCTGTTGGCGTTTTAAATAAAGCACAACCTACATTTTTATTATTTCATAAGCTGCAGTGGTTGCTTTGAGGATCTACTTAATCTGATGAAAATCGGTTTGACAGATGTTGTTTTGAAGATAGAGCATTCCTTTATCGAGGCATCAGTACACAAGAAAGCAAGAAAACATTACTTTGGACAGAGAATGTGTTTGTTTACAAACATATGGGTTTTTAACACATTTAATACACACATTCATTTTTAGTTTAATAATAGCCACAGCTGATATTGTACAAGGAATACAACAGTAGACTTGCCAAGACAGCTTATTATTTGTCAATACTTTCAGAGTCAACACTTAATTGTTTTATTATAAACACAGAGAGAAAAGAAACACATCTGTCAAGATTTCAGCATTTAAAGAACTTATCCAGATTTTATATGTGTGATGCTGTTAAGAACTGCACCTGTTTAACATCAGAATCTCAACTAGATTCATTTATCTTGACTGTCTTCAAATAAAGATTTTTATTATTTCATATTAAGCTTAAATAAGACCTTTATTTGACATTGCAAGTAATTCACAAAAAGAAGATGGAATACTTGAAAAGATCATTAACTAGATGAAATGAGGCATTAATAATACCAGAATCTTACGTCTTCACCTCAGAGGGATTGGCTGAGCCCAAGTCTGACAAAAATATTGTAAAAACAAACACAATGGCATTAGAATTACAGCAAAATCTCCTACAGCCCACAGAATATACACATAGATTATGATCATTTATACAACTCCATTTAAATATAGAAATTGAATAAAGCAGCTTTCCAAGTTATTATTTTTATAGCCCTTAACTAATATGTTACAAACATATGTATATAGCATATATATATAATATGCTATACACACATACAGAACACACCTCTTTTTAATTCACAGCTTTTTCCATTCTCAGCTTTTTAAGAGTGGTCCAAAGTGTAGGAAAGAGTGCAGCACATTCCAACATCCCCTGCCCTGTTTGCAGCACCTAGATTGCCCACCTACCCCAGTGTTACCTGATGAGACGGATGTGAAGCTGAGGCCACCTTCCATTCGCTAGCTAAGTGGCAGTTCTGATCTGAATGAAGGACTGTGAGCATCACTCAGCTTGTGATTCAGAACAGGAGCCTATATTTAGAGTTGACTAACTGGGAAGAACCATGTGTATCTGTCCTGTCTTCCACATGAATTATAAAAGCTTGTGGAAGGGAACAGGCTCATACAGCAGCCAGCCAGGGTACAAACTTACTGCTCAGTATCCACTGGTGATCAGAAAAATCAAAACAATGTGATAAGACAAATGAAGAACAGGAAAAAGCAACCACAAATATAGTAACTCACT